TCGCACAATGTAATTTTGAAGAGATCATAATAATAAACGTGGACGTAACTTTAAACAGCTCGGATCGTTGCACTAGTTATGGCCACTACCCCATTAGTGACCTTTTTAAGGCTAACTTTTTTCGTAGAAATGATGTGTGATTGTAAATAAATGTGTGCGTGTGTGTGTGTGTGTGTGAACGCGCATATGTGTAAGAATTAAAATGTATATAAAGAAGTATAAATGTGCAAGAAAAAATAATACTTTAAACAAAATATAAATTACTAGGCAAAGTGATTATTAAGATATAGAAGTAAATTTTTAAAATATATTACCATGTTTTACGTGTAATTCATGTTTATTAAAAGTACCATATGTAAATTATATCATTATACATGCTATTTTTGTCAAAAGTTTCATTTAAAGTGTAGACGTTTTTATTTGAGTTTGACATAACTCAACAAATAAATGCCTGAATAGATAATTTCCTCATATTTATTCGCATTTTGTTTGTTTTATTTTTAACTTGTTATTCTTATATCGTCGGCTATTTATTTATATAGATTTGCATTTAATGAATATTGGATTAAATTATCAAAATACAAATAATTTTAAACACAATTTTTTACTAATTAAAATACGAAACATTAGTTTTGATTAATCTCAAATGAGTCCTACACTTTTATAATTAGTAAATATTGATAAGAAAAGAAAACTAATATTCAGATTCATATCTTACACTCTCATTTATATAAAAAACGTTGTATAATTTATAATATTCAAACTTGATACATAACAAGCCACTACAGCTCTTAGTGTATTATACCTCTTCAAAAATGAGTGAAAGAACACTCTTATACACAATCCCACTTGACATACCTACACATGTACATTGTATATATTTATATGTATATAACATTGTCATACATTTGTATTTAAAGAAGGAAAAATCAAACACTTCAAGTAGTTACTATATAATTGTGTTTGGTTATTTACAAAATCTTATTAACTTATATATTATATATACGCCACTCACCCGTTTCTCTCTCTCTCTCTCTCTCTCTCTCTCTCTCTCTCTCTCTCCATTTCTCTCGTGGTTTCATATCTGTATGTATATGTAAAACTCACCAAACCATGTATGCATGTATGTGTATCGTTTTATCGAGTATGAAACGTCGAGTCGAGTAATTCCAGACTATACACCCTCTGTCTCTTCTCTTTCTCTCGCCCACTCTTCATGACCGTGCTTTTAAATTCTGGCCATTTCGCGTATAGCTTTAGCATCTCCAACGGAATTTCTTCCGCTTCCGCTATCTCTCTACCATTACCTTACTACAAGGGTAAGCGAGATGGTGAGAACCAGACTACTACTGAACTCAGCGGAAAACGATTATATGCTTACAAAGAGCAAGTAAGAGCGAGGGAAAAAGAGAGAAGGTGCATGGGTTAGAGATAGATACTGATGAGTAAAGCGAGGGAGAGACAGAGAGAAAGAGAATAAAGAGCCGACTTGCTGCTTTCCCTTGTTCGCCAAACAGGACGTAAGCGTGCGCACATGTACCTGCATGCATATATACAAATGCGCGAGTGTGCGTTTCTGTGCGAAAGCCAGGCGAGCAGCGCGTGAGGATTACGAGATTCGGCCAAGCAACTCCTTGGCCGGATCGCAATATTCCTTGATAATGCAAGCCCAAAAGCCGCTCCCTGGTATTTTTTCCCAAGAGTCCCTCTGGCATGCTTGTTATTGCATTAACAGAGCTTTTCCTTTTTTCACCTATCCCTTTATTCTACCTATTTCTTATCAATGATAATAACGTACTGCGTTTGAAGATGATTTTCATGAAATCATGCCGACGCAGGAAAAACCTTTTTTGACATTGTTTATGGAAAAGAATGGAGTTTAAAACTATTTCTTTCTCAGCATATGAATTGTATTATAAAACTTGCAATTTCCACGATAAGTTAAGTCTAGAGGTAATAGTCTAAAAATAGCTTAAGGTTCATCTTATTGTTGTAAAGATCATTATCAACTATGTTGTAAAATACGAAACTAAATATTTTTCACCTGTTTATACATCGTAGTCACTATAAAATTATATTAATGTATTGAGAATGAAAATAAATAACAGGGAAATATTTACTAGATATTTGAATAACCATCTAATACTTCATATTTAATAAATATTTATTCATATAAACATTAAAAATAATCAAATGTACTTCCAATAGAAACGCTAAAAAATGTATGTGCATAATAAAGCGTATAATAATAACAAGTATTTATACTTTATATTATACTTGGTAGAATTTCATGACTTCAGAAAAATATCTTATAATAATATAGCACAAGCCAGACTTGTGAATTTACATATGAATTTAATGGATACAATTAAAAAATAAAATTAAAACAATTTTCTTATTAGTTAAATACGTATTACAACTATTATTAAAAATTAAAAAAAAAAAAATATTTAGAAAAATGAAAATTTAAATTATTTAATACATTTTTATAACTATTGTTTATATATGATGAAGGCATAGAATGGCACATATAACGTTATGATATAAATTAATTAAATGAGAGCAAAATTTTAGATTTATCTATTCCATATCAAATGACAGAAAAAAACTTTTTTTTACTCATAATTTAAACTGTTTAAAATAGTTTTATAATTTATACATGAAATTCATTAGCTTATAATATGTATTTAAAAATCTCTTTTAAAAGCTAATAAAGCAACATAAGATTGTAATTGCATAAAATGTATAGTATTATTTAAATATATGTAATATAATACGTTTTACTGTATTTAGGGTTATTTCATACCTATAAGCTAAAAAAATATCTAGCATAAATTTGTTTTTATTATAAACTAAATTGAATGAAATTTACCAATTACATTAAAACCTACGACACCTTCATGTATTATTTTTATTCCACCGTTAATAAAGAAATATAGTGAAACATATCAATATTATTAAATTTAGTTACTTTGGTATTCCAATATTGCACAAAATAGCGATTATGATGCACATGCACTTTGAATTCTTTGCATAAATGACAATTTTATGGCTTAAAGAGAAATAGTAGAATAATAATAATAAATACATCAAAGTTTGAAGTTTCTCAAATGGCGCGTAAACAAGTTACCACACGACTGCTAGAAACTGACGTCACGAGTTGGTAGCCACGTGATCTATTTTAAGTTATTTAAAGTTGTAATGTGATTAGCAAAGTTTCACTTGGCTTCGAAATAGCTTGAGACATTGCGGACAAGTATTTCTAACCATTTGATAATAAGTATTTTGTATTTATTTAACTTTTTTTTTTTAATTTGTCCAACTATAGAAAGTAATAAAATCTCATAAATATAACTTTCTGATACTATTTAAAAATTATTTTAATTAAATAAAAATATATTATCTTGTGTTTTTTTATATTTAACGCAAATATTGTAATCTATACCTTCAACAAAGTATATATAAAAATTAAAATTTTAAAAATTAGTTCTTAAATAAATATTCAAAGAATAAGTATATATTAAAATAAAAATACTACAATTAATACCTATCAATATATAGAAAAAAGTATTGTTAAAAATGTAACATTATACACAACAGTATAAAATATATTTATATTGAAAAAATTCAATATACATTGGATTCTACAATCAATATTTATCAATATTTATATATGCAATATAATATCAATCACTATTAAAAAATACGATAAGACTAGAATATAATATTATCAATCATATAGGCTTTTTTGCATTAATTCCGAATCGGCGTGATGAATCACAATAATGACAATAAATATCCGGGAATTAGCATTATTTTATCTTATTCGCAAAATTTAATTAAAATAATAAGCTTAAACTGAATAAAACACGTAAAATGCAATTAAGGAACCTATTAATTTGACTACAAGCTGAAACTTTTGAGAAAAATCTCCTTGACATATATAATAGTAAATTACCGAATGACAGTGCGAGTACTTCTCATCTCCTTCTTCTTTCATACTTTTGTACTTGTGATATATGTCGGTTTATATTAATCTTTATATAACGTATAAATAATATTTTAATACAACAATGCCATTTAATGACTCAATAAATTTTTCATGTGAAATACATTTTTATCAAAAATTTCCAATCAATAAAATATTTTATGTTTTATTTAATCCGAATTAATTCATTTGTTTACAAAAATTATATTCTTATGATAAATTACTTTTTAAAAAGTTCTCAAAATTAATTAATGTATAAATTAAATAGAACGCGTTAAAAATCGATTTCTTGTAAAATAATAAAACGTTGAATTTAAAATTGAAATATAAAATTAAAAATAATAATATTTTATGTAATTGAAATGGTTAATTCTTTATTTTCTATTTTCAGCTACTATATATTTCAAATGTTAAAATTTTTACAATTCTACTTTCTAAAAGAAAATTGGTATTTAATAAGATAAAATAAAATCACTAATATACACTTTGAAAAAAATACCAGTAAAATTCTTTTAATTTTATAAATAATATGAAACTTCAATAATACGCAAAAACTTATAGTATTCGTAAAAAGTTTTTAAAAAAATAATTCATTAAAATAGTATTGAAAGACTGCTCTAGATTCTGAAATCAATAATTCTACGCAAGTATATTAGAAAATAATCAATAATGGATAAAACATTCGATCATCATAGAAATTGAAAACAACAAAAATATCAATTTCCGCTCTGTGCATCATCAACCGCCAGTATGCCACTCAAAACACTCGACGTACTTTTTCAAATCACAAAACTCACACAGACGAGCAGCCATGGGTGAGCGTGCGTACACACATATGCACGCGCGTATGCACATACGTACGCACAAGTAAAATCGCGAATACAGCATTCGCTTCACCTCAGTGTCTCTTAGCAGCATAGATATAACATACCGAGGCCGATCCCAATTACTATATGTATACACGTATATATATATATATATATATATATATATATATCTGTGTGTATGTGAGTTTGCATGCCATTTGACGGGTGCGATGTGAGGCTCAAGTTGCAATAATCGCCGTTGTCGTCTCCGTCAACGTCCTAGCCTTCGACGGGAATCCACGGGGTGCATCGTTCACCTCGACAAGGTCTTCGCCAAGACAATGATTGGGCTTCCCCCGACCCAGGGCGTCACGATGCCGACAATAAGCGGCAAGAACAATAGGAGCATCGGCAGTAACAGCCCTCCAGGATAGGTTGCGAATCGCACTGAGGCAGCCCCGCCATGCTGCATCGCCGCTGGATGCTCATCTGCAAATTTAGTCAGAAGCGCGTTGTTAGAACATCGAAGCGGATGCTCATTATCACAGGAGGACGCTTAAATGACTGATGTATATATATATATATATATATATATATATATATCTGTCTGTGTGTATCTCATTCTCTCTCTCTCTCTCTCTCTCTCTCTGTTTGTCTTTGTCTCTCTATGTCCCTGGATCTTGGATTTAGTTGGGATTTCAGGTGGAAAGCTGTAATTTTAAAGGCGAAGGTTCCGCGGCTATTAAGCAGACGGGAGCTTTTGTTGGAATTTTGTATCGAGCTCGTTAAGATATATTTATTGCCGAGGCTTAACGCTAGATTGCCAAAGGCATTTTTAACACTTCCAATAGAAACTGACTATTCTTGCATTTCCAGCGTTAAATCTTATATTTACAAATAAATGCATTATTGTTATAGACAATTATCATAGATATTTTTATCGATATTATAGAATGCTACTTGTTTGCACGTTTCTTCAGTGCATCTTGCATAAATATCGGAACCTTAATTTTTTCTCACCGTCTAATATCCAAAGTATATGCAGAGATAAATGAATACATTACTATTCCCAATACTTAATCTACATATCTACTAATGTTGCACATTAAAAATATATTTAAAAATTAATTAAAAAATTAAAACTTTCGTTTCCTTCGAGCAATTAATATATTAAAGATATGTAGAATTATAATTGTAATAATTTTTAATTATAAACATAATTGATTAGTATTAATTTTTTTTAAATTTAATACTTCAGATTATAATAATAATATTTTTGTGTATAATTAAACACGTTTAAAATTCAACTGATTACCATTAAATATGCAATTTATATATAAAAAATACGGCATTTAATAATAAAACTACCTACCATACTTAATAATGTAGAATAAGATAGAGTATTGGGCTTAATGTTTTTTTTTCTTTTCAATTTAATAACACGTAATAATGGACATTCATTATTGAAATCGAAATGTATAATTACATTTCAACTTAATTGTTATTCCTTACTTTTTATTTGCATTTTTAATAAATTTTTAGTAATTAACTGGCTCTAAGCTATCTACTATACTAATATCCATTCAAAGCTCAAAAATAATCCAATCGCTACTGGCTAACATAAAAATAATACCCATTTCCTTGCTTTTACTAAAGAGTAAAAAGCTCTCCGAAATTAATTAATACGGAAAATCAATCGGAATAATTTTTCATACACGCTTGCTGAGAAATAACAAAGAATTGCGAGCGAACACGTGAAATGCGAGTAGCATTCGAGGAAATCACAGAACCAAGGAACGACAAACGCACCGTAAAAGTGTCGCTTTTAAGGGCTGTAAGTACCATTGGTGAAAATCTGAGGCAATTACGTGAGCGAGGCCGATGCCCTACTACTTGTAGACTCGTGTTCAATGGAAAGTAGAGGTAAGCTGAAGGTGTAATACTTTGAAGGAGGTATTAACCTGAAGGAAGAAAAAGGAAAATGATAGAGATAGATGGAGTGGAAACATGTGCTATTATTAAATGTTAAAGGTCTTCTCGGTTTGCCCTGTCAAGCGCAGAAATTTTCAACAAGAAATTTGTTTACTCACAAATCTTAATTGAATTTTCATCTGGCATTTATTATATAAATTATTTCAAATTTGTACGTAGTAATTTTTAAATAATATACCATACCAGATATACAGGTTACTTATGCTGCAAACTATATTTACGAGTATTACACAGTTTTAAATACCATATTCAATAATCGAAAATTCGAATATATACGTCGTATGTGTAATATAGTGTAATTGATGCTAAAATTACATGGTTTAATAGTCTGTAAAATATAAAATTTAAGTTTATTGTAATTTCGCCGTAAGATATTATAAAGTTTTACAACATTTTCTAATAGCACGTGATAGAAGGGTAAGAAAAGTATATTTAATATATAATCCAATTTTTTAAATTTATTTTTAATTACATATAATTTATGTAAATAATAAAAAATTTAATTATTAAGTCAAATAATGGGTACTCTAGAATCAAAATTTCTATTGAAATCAAAAGCAATATTCGTATGAATTGTCAAACTTAATCAATTTATTATGTTTTGCTTTAATTACTTTATAATACCTTAAATTCTATATTGAATAATAATAATCTTAATTTAAATAAAGGAACTATCATTACATATGTAAACAATTAATTATCTTCTAAGCTCATAGACTCAAGAATAATTTATATTTAGGATAATTACACTTTTTTCATTTCCTTTTTTAAAAAAACAATTTTCTTTTATTTCATTCAGCATTTTTTTATTTGCAGACTGTTGAAATGTCTCGATTTTCAAATAGAGTATATTTAATTATCCATCTTTAAACAATACTCGCGTGATCGATTGGTTACTACATACAGTAGATCAACGTCCCCCCGATAACCCCTATATTATACGATATCATAAAACATCTTTACCGTCCAACTCACAATCAGAATTCGGTTTTCTACTTCTAGAATAATCTATTTAACTTGAGTGCTTTTTCTTCGTCGCAGAATCATCTTTTTCCGAGCCTTCAAATGCCTTCTTTTTTAAAAATTTATCTATCCAGATTTCAGATTTCTATCTTAATTTATAAACCTTAATCGAAAGTAATATTCATATGAGGTATTGGAATTGCTATTTTTAATTTAACTTTATTTATATTATTGTAAACATCATATATAAAGTTATAAAATTACTTGATCAAACAATACTTGCATGCAAAAGACGATGCACCTAATATTTGAAAAAATTTTACGCAGTTTGATTTTTAAATTTCCTAAACGTATCACAATTATTATTAGTATTAATTTTTGCCATCATAACACAGATTTATTATTGTCATTATAATATAATATTCTTATATAATATTTTTTTTCTATTATTGATTAAATTGTAAAAATCTTTTTTTTTTTATTTATTTATTTTTTTTTTATTATTAATATATAATAATATATTATGTATGTTATATACAGTATAATTATTTGTAACTATAAAATATGGATAAAAATTAAAGATAATTAAAGATTTTTTTTTTTTTTTGAAGAAACAAAATGTTAAACTAGTTTCATTATTTAATGATAAAAAATATTGTTTTGATAAGAAGATAGATTCGTGATAGTGATTTGTGAAGATATGTAGTGTATGTATGAATGCAAATTTTTATGCATGACGAGTAGATGAATACATCAAATTTAAATATAGCAGAACTGATTTCTATTATTTTTGCTGCTCAGTTAGATGTTGAAATGAATTTTTTGGCTTATTGAAAACATTTATGATAACTATTCGATTATTCAGTTCTTACTATTTCATGTTAAATAAAGTTATGTAAGTGAAATATTCATTATTCCCGAAATAATATGATAATTTATAAATGTTCTAATATCTGCAAAATATGATCGAGTTTTTAAAATTGAAAAATATTACATTACTAGTATAGTCACTCTAAATCACCATATCAGGAATTATAAAAATTTACTGTTAGAAAATAATTTATAAATATGTATTTCAATATATAATTATTGTAAAAAGATAATAGATTTATTTTTCGAAAATAATCGTAAAGATCATTAATTTCCATCCGTTGATTAAAGTCGTTTTACTTCATACTATTTCATTATTGAAATATGTAATCGTATTATTTTCGAAAATAATATATTTTTCGAATATGCATTATAACAATTGATAACAACAACAAAAATAACAACAGCAATAATAATATTAGTCATTCCAAATATTTTAAAACTTACTCTAATAATATATTTTAATAAAGAGATATTAGTTTCGATACAATTATTGTTTATTACGTGTTTTTAACCACTGAAAAATTGTAAAATTTTTTACAAACATGAAATTTAAAATGAAGTAGAGAAAAATTTCACAATAAATTTTACTTGAATTGTTTTTTCTAATGCTTTATAACGTTACATATAATAGAAATATATTTTCATGTATTTTAAAAATGATCATAATACTTTCATATATTACATGTAAAATTTAAAATTTATACATAAGCTGAATTTAATATATTAAATTTAATAAATCACTAGCGGCTGAATTAATTCTGGTACTTTCATGATTAAATATATAAGCACTCACGTTAATATCATAATCGAAAGCTGAAATGTAAAAAAATATTTACAACATACTAGATAACTTAAAGATAGAAAATATCAAGAATTTGTTTCGATGACGCGACGTAAATTTCAACTGAAAAGTATACGAATCACAATACTTTAGAAAGTCGATGTGCTATACTTAATATAAAAAAATCGCTTCCGTCATTTTAAATAAAACGATTTTTCTTCAAGATTTATGCCGAGTCCCTCTAATACGAGACCATTAGTCAAAGGGACTTATAAGGCATTCAAAGGATTACCCCTCAACACTAGGGTGTCAATGCATAGCTTGACCCCCTTGCCCCTAACAATTTCCCATCGTCGCCACTTACTCGCTGGCATTGGAGCTCTCAAGGAGCGCAAGCTATTTCAAAAGCTCATCATCAAAAGCAAGAATGAGAACCGATGCCCGGGAATACAATTTATGGAAAAGGCCAATTCGATCCAAGCCGGCTGGGCTGGAGCACATAATGGGCTCGCGCCTCAGCCTCTCGACCAACGATAGGGTAAGAGACGCGCAAGGTTTTACTTACCGTTCAGCACGTGAACGACGACGGTGGCGCGGGCGGCTTTGCTCGATACGCAGCTATAATTGCCGCTGTCACCTAAGGAGGCGCGCGTTATGAGGAGTTTGCTCGTTGTGCCACCCTTGGACTTCTCCGTCTCCAGTGACACGCCACCCCTGCGAACAGCAAAGAAAAAAAGATGCCCGTCTGTTGAGATGTTACTCTTAATTGGCCAACACCAGCAGCCAGCCTATGAACCTTTGAGTATGTGTAAGGACTCGGCGAGAGTCGTTCGTGCACGGGTTTCACGGGCCCCTCTGATTTATTCGAGGAGCAAGCCCTAGTTTCGTAACCTCGACATTCCCGGCCGTATAAATCTTTGATTAATTGCTTGGCTCCTAGCACCCACGAATTCCGAGAGCCCAACCCCCAGCCTCGGGTGCCGCCTCGTCGTTCTTCCGCTTATAGTACTTTCCAACCAGAAAGCAAAAGAACGACTTTGCGAATGAATATTAGCATTGTGCGCGCTCTGTGATTTTAACTGCGTCTCTATTCCAATCTTAATCATTACTTTAACGGTTAAATCCAGACCCTGCTCTCGTATATTTGTATCAATCTTTTATCAGTCTTTTAATTATCCTAGGCACTTTGCTACTAATGTGTACTTTTAGGGCAAATATGGAGGCATAGCCTTAATAAAATATCACTTATTATCAAATGACTATTTATATGCTTAAGATTGCTCGTACTTCGAAAAATAATATACTTCTAAATATTGACATAGCCATAAGATTAAATTAAAATTTATTATTACAGTAACGTTAATTTATCTCAGTAAATGCAAAAACTATATTATTTATGATAGTATCGTTAGATGATAAAATAATGCTACATAGGAATGCTCTATTCTGCAATTCATTACCAACTACAAAATATTAACTGTTCATTAAATACTTCGGATAATTATACGTTTTATAGTATTTTATATTCTATTGTAGTTTCCCGTAAGTATTAAATGAAAATAAATATTAAAAAATCTAGCAATAATACTGCTTCGAAATGAGACCAATGCATTTGAAAAAACGATCGTGTTTATTTGTAGAAATAGGTTAATTTTTTATAGAATAAGATTAGATGATACATATCGGTTCTTACCTCAGTATAGTGTGAACTATATTCGTAACTAATACCTAATAAATAATATGCAGAATGACCATGAATTTTCAGTTGTCTTACGGTAGTTGTCGGTGATTTCAATACATTAACATTAATATAAGCATATTAAATGTTTATAGTAATTGGATTTTCATTTTATGATGAAAAATGTATTGGCTTTAGTATTTATTTATTGGGATATTATTTGTAAAAGGCTATTTTCCGCAAGAATGATATTTTAAGTTTTATTGCAGTAATGTAGATAGATATATGTATTGAAGAAAATTTAACGACGTCATAAGATTCTGAAATGCGTCATTTTATGCTGAAATCGAAAATCGAGATCGAAATACCAATATTGAAAAGTTTAGCAGCTACATAAGCTTTTCATGGCTTTCTAAAATTTAATTTTGAACGGTGGATATTAAAAAATTTATGCAAAAACAGTTTTATGCGTATTTTAACATAAAATTCATGCCGAAATGAGCTATCTCTTAACAAATTTAATGGAACACAGAATAAATGTAAATATGTGGCATCACATATTTAATTTTATTTATTTATTTATTTATTTATTTATCACAACAGCAATTATTGAACTTTTAACAATTGTTTTTAAGTTACACTAATGATAAATATATTATTCTACTTTTTTTTTTAATATTTCTAAAATGTGACTTTATTTATTAAAAATAATATTTTATTGAATTACAGTATCTGCACAATTAATTTCAAAGCTTGTAAAAGAGGCTTGTAAATGACACTATTATTTACTTATTTACCTACGACTATCTATTATAATAACAAAATTACTATATAACGATTATTAAATGAAAAAAATTTTTGTTAAACTAGAAATTTCGATTTACAAAATTTATGAATGTCATAGATTTCCATGAGAACTAATTAAAACTTTTAATTAAATTAATATTAATAGTTATTAATTTACGAATGTAAGACAAAATTATATTTGTTCAGATCAAATTGGATTTCTTTTAATAAAATCTTAAATCTTCGAAGTATTAGATCAAGCACTTGATATACTAACTTCGTACTTACTTTACTCAACTTTATTTGCGTATATCTTATCAATCGGTTGAATCAACATTAATTGCAAAAGAAACTTAAAATATTAAGATAGAAATTTAAAACTGCAAATTATTCCACCTCAAATCATTCAACTAGGTAATCTTAAATTTCTCTATTTACGATAAAAATTAAAATTACCCTTTCAGTTTCAAACTATAATTACCAATATTTTCTTTTATCTACTACAAGATTTTGTGTTTCATCAAAGTTTACTAACATGCTTCTTTTGGATTATTTTGTATTCAAATATTTTAATCATATTGATTATCTATTGTTACTATTTTACTCTATGTAACTTGATACATAAATAGAAAATTATAAAATAAATAAATTCATAATAATAACAGAAATTTTAAAAAATATTTTCAATAACAAATTATTTTTTATATATGACGTTTTTAATAAAAAATGTATTAAACATATTTTCTATGATATTTAATATAACCTATAATATAATGTTATTATAAATAAATTGCAATATATAATCAAGATAAACTCTTTTGACTTAACATGAAAAACATATTACTCTCAAAATATAAAAAATTTATTCTTCAAAGCATTATCTGATCGTAAAAGCTTTACACCAATTATACTAAAAACTTGTTAGTTTATTTGAATTTATTTTTAGCACTGTTTGCCAATAGATAGATTAATATTTTTCAAATATGTTGATTTTATTTCTACATTTATTCTGTATTGCAGAAATAGAAAATAATTAAAATAAGAAAAAAACTTTTCTTTAAAAAATAAAAATGTAAAGACTATACAGTTACAGTTCGACCATGTATTTAGACAAAAATAAATCTAATTTCGAATTTACATTTCTAATATTTAGCAATCCCTTAAATTAATATGTATGAATAATTGGTATTTATCAGTACCATTTGGAATTGATCTCAAAACAAAACTTATAAATAGAATTTATATATGTGTATAACGCTATTTAAAAAAATTAATTTCAAGTGGAATTTGATTAACGACAATTATTCATACCATAGGTTTATATTGAATATATGCGCGAGCGCATATGTGAATGTGTATGTATATTAAATAACTAAAAAAAATTAATTTTCCAAAAATATTCTATGAAATGATATTATTTTACAAATCACATATTTCTATAGATTTTCTTTATATATATATATATATATATATGAAATTATATTCATTTAAAATTATAATTTTCAATGTGTATTAAAAAATAAAAATTACATTTAATTGAAAGAAAAGTATTAAACATTCGTGAAATGTAAAGAGATACATTAATATTATCTACTAACTACAAATTGAGAGTACTATTATTCGGAATTATATTTGAAGACCAAAATAGGTAAAATGAGCGTTCGTTATTTTAAAAAATTAGAATTCTAAATATTTTGTTAACGTGTCTCACCATCAATTACATAAAAATCTCATTTTTCTCATGTTTCACAGGGCCTCAGCAAACATTAACATATAAAGACATTGGACTTTTTAATTAATGAACAGTCCTCTTACTCTATTCTTTTTGATAATTATTTTTAACATAATGAATCAAATAATGAATTCATAGAAACAATTCTAGAATGAAATAAAAATCTTTGGTTGAAAAACAAAAATTTTATAAAAAATTGTTACAAAATCTGTTAAACTTATAAACAGCTTTACGTATTTTAAATAGATATAGAAAATAAAAATGATATTACTAAAGAGATTTTTATACTATAATATATATTTTATATTATATAATAGATTGAAAATTAATCGATATTCAAAAAATTATCAATGATTAAATAAAATTGCAAGAGAAAATTTTAATCAATCAGTACTTCGATTAAGATTACTTTACAAATTTTCCTATTTCATTTTAATTATTAAATTTTTATAAATATTAATATATATTGAAGTTCCTTTACCTCGAAAAATATTTCGAATATACCGATATAACAAAGAATAGGCGTAGCTATTCAATGTAGCATTCTCTTAATCATCAATAAATAAACTAATTCGTTGAATTACCATTGATGAAAAAACTATATTAGCTTTTATATTATTTTGAGTCATTATATAGTAATGTTGAGTATTATATAGTAATATTATTAAATAAAAATATATAGTAATATATTTTGCGCACCAGTGGAATTCCCTAATAAACGATACCAGAGAATGAGAATGCACAATTAGCCCGATGATATGCATTTTACCAACTAAGTCCAATATATTTTTTTATTGAGCACGTAATACTGTAGTCAGTAATGAATACTTGCATGTACATAAAAGTCTATCGCTCTTAAGCTGCAATAGGAGTGAATTCAATTTATTTCTTATTTATGTCCAAGTGCGAGGAAACAAAAGCGAAAAACAAAGGCAAAGCCGTAGCTTATAAAACAGGCAGCGCATCCTCCGCTCCTTGCATTTGCATGCAAGAATAGGAAGAGGATCTATCGCTTCAGTACCTCGGGCCGTCAAAGTCGATGATCGTACCGGCATGGTACCAAGTCACGTTGCTCGGCGGCACGCCCTGCGAGTTCACCGTACAGGTCAGGCTGATCGTACTGCCCTTTCTCACGTAAACCTCCTCCGTCCCCAAAATTTCAGCCTGGACGTCTGTAACAATAACGGACAATGGTCACGCACACCGAAATTATTCCGAAGGCTTATTAAATTAAACTAGGATGTATATTGACGTCGGGGAGTTTGTGAGTCTCGAGTGAAAAAACGTCTTTTGGGGATAAGACGATCGAATGAAGTAGTGTTAACACTTTTAAGTAGAACAAAACCATTAATAGATCGAAGTGATTTCTTAAAGTATGCGATTCTTAAACTGTAGCGTCAGAAATTGATTTTCCGCAAGAGCACGGCAAGAGGAAAGGGAGTTAATTAACTTGGGCGCAGAATGCCACGATAGTCCTTTTCATCAAATTATAATTGTTAAAGTCAATGTTGTTGAATTGGCAATATCTGATATTAGCTTACTGAGCAGCAAAAATTTCTTCGAGCATAAACATAATCTAAAAAGGAAAACATTAAACGAGAGAGCTGCTTAATAAATTTTGAGCAAATTGCAATGAAATAACTCTCGTTTCCTTCGAAGATTGTATGATGGTAGGCGACTTCAAATTTCAAGCAAAACTTTGAAATATAACAGTTATATTTAGCCCCAATATAAGAAATATTCTAATAAATTACCTTAAGTATCAATTATTGACTTTTTTCAATACCTTAATTTATCATGTAATAGAAAATAAATGTATTTGGCTTTCTAGGAATAATGCATCTAGGAATAATTAGTCATTTAACCTTAATTTTAATCTAATCGTTTTAATAGCGATTACATATATTATCGTTTTCGTAAACTTTTGACATGCATTGCATAATAGGATGATACTCCATATATCATAAATACATCATCTATTCCATTTTAACTATTACATGGATAAACTTAAAAATTGATAAAAAATTGTATTAATCCATAATATGGACAAAAAAATAATTCATATTATACGATGTATCATATATTGATTATCAATTGTACAATATTTATATAACGATATATATATAACAATGATATTTAGTTGTCTTCCTTATATTCCTTTTACAAAATGATAACTTAGTATTAAGGTTTGATATAATTATGAACAATACATATATGAGTTAAGGCACATGCAAGAAAAAAGTATAATTTTTTATATTTTCGACACGATTGAAATAAAAAATTTAGACATAAAACAATAAAATTTAATTTCAATAAAATACTATTTCATTACATGATTGAATTTTCAAATAGTAATAATTTCTCCTTATCTTATGAAAAATTCATACTTTTCCGTGTATTGTGAATTTATTATATAATTAATGTGGTACTTACACAAATACTGAAATAGAGCAAATTCAAAATGAAAATAAAAAATTCGCATTATTAATAATAGCGACAAGATTAAGTAAATTAATGATTAAGATTTAGGGAGGAAGATAGGTGAATGTCTATACGTCTAAGAAAAATGCTTGCAAATATTTAAAATAATCCTCCAAGTATATTTATTATTCTTATGGGTGCGAGTTTATGCAGGCAATTTAAGGAAAAATTACATATCAAGAAAACAGCAGCGCCGAAAGTCCGAAGTACTTGAGCTACTATAAAGTCACCTCTACATATCTCGACAAATATGGTAAACACATAGAGTAGTGCAATAAGCGAATCCTACCTAGGACTCGCAGATAGACAGCTCTGTGTATTTTCGGCTCGGTGTTGACTTGGCACTCGTATATACCTTCGTCCCTTGGTTGCACGTCACCTATTCGCAGATTCCAATCGTCCGAGCTCTCCGTATTGCCGATAACGGTGAATCTCCCGTCGCCCGTGTACGTGAGCTCCATAGACGTCAAGATATGCAAATCCCTCTTTCTTATCCAGGACACCTGCAAGCGAGAGAAGACCTGACTGAACATTGAAAATTCATCGTAGCCCCGTACAGTAATTCTCCCCATCACGACACCCCCCCCCTCATACACCCATACTTATGGACAAGCACATGTAGATACGCCCGATAGCACACACATGAAGATAATTTTTTTTTCACCATTCCCGTCCTTTTTCTCTTTTTCGTCACGTTCAAATGCAAGTTCGATCTAATTCAATGTGTCGGGCCTCGCCTAGAGCAATAATTCCCTTATCGGTTAACGAGGATCTTGATCTAAATCACGAAGGATATATTCGCCGTTTGGATCGTTTCTTTTTTGTCGTTCTCCTCGGTTAGAATGCTATCTACGTAGGTTCTAACTATGAACACCAAGAGGAAATTGAATTTTTTTATTCCTTTTTTTTTAAAATGCGCCTTTAATGTTTTTAAACTATGTCAAAGTACTTTTGATATTAGCAAACAGTAAAAATGAGAATAAATACTTATTGTATTAATATACATTGAAATCAATATGTAAATTAAATGTTATTTTACCAAAAAACTTTTTGTCTATATAAATGTAATTGTATAGCCTGTATTATCAAGCATTGATTGAAATTTAAATACATTAAATCATTCTTCTACTGAATAATTCTTCTATTGAACGATGATTAAAAATTCATTTGAACATGTCGTTTATATGCTCATGGATACGTCCAATTAATCAATTTATTAATCCGTTTATATTTATAATTCAATTCGTCGAATTAAGTTTATTTTTATTAACGAAAGAATTCTATAGTTACGTCTAACGTTAATTATTCTATAGATACATTATTAATCATTTAAATTCTATACTTCAAAAAATTTATAGTTAAGATACGGTATTATTTAAGAGGGTAAAAATTACAAATAATATTATTATTTAGATATTAAAAATAATAATTTTAATTTTTATTTTAGCCATAATAACTTTATATCGAATATATAATCCGATTATAGAAATAAATTATTTGAAAAAATGGTACAATAAAAAAATTGATTTTAAGAATTAAATCCAAACGTAAATAAATTAAACTAATTTTATACAATGAACTAAAAATTCCAGTAAATTAGTAAATTGAATAGATAATAATTATGATACAATTTATAGTTAGAAAGTAATAGGTTTGAAATATTCTATTATTTATACCTACATATATAACTATTGTATTTGAAATGAACTTTATTTAATATCACTATTTCTCGTATAAAAATATAAACAAAATGTTTTATTATTGTTTAAAAATATTGTTTATACATTTGCAGTTTAAAAAGTAGGTATACTTTGCTTTTGATTAATTGTAAACAAAGAGTTTGTTTTTAATTTGAAAATAGAACAATATTGATAACTACAGTTATTAAAAGATCATAAAATAAACATTTATTGAAAAAAATCGGTTGAAAAAAAATTTCTTTAACTTCTAAATAATAATAAATCAAAACTTATATGTTATTATTAAATTGCTATAAACAAAAATTAATCATTATGTGTACTCTTATATATTATGCGTTTTCTCATTTATTCAATATATTTATATGCTACATTTATAAATAAGTACATTAATAATCTTAATCTAGACTTAAAATTGAAAAAAATAATTATACTAACAAAATAACATATTTCCAAATATATATATACATATAAATATATTATTATAAAATTATATATTAAATTTATCTACTTATACTGAAATTAATTTCCGATGAGTTTATATCCTTGTATACATTATAGAAACCCAACTATAAATAGCACTTTTCATGCGCAAAATAGTATGAAATGCCATTAACAAATATATTTTTTTAAAAAATAATTTAACTTACGTCGTAACAAACTCTACGTAACTTATTGAAGGCTATTAATGGACAAATATAGATATCTTATAAATTCAGAATTTACTTGGATTTAACTGAACTTAACTGAATTCATAATTAATTCTACTAATTCAAAATAACTATGTTTTTGTTAGGTAATATAAAAAGCATTCTGAAATAATAAATAATGAAAAACGATAATATATTTTACTTATTTAATTTTTATATACTGAAAGAACACTGTTCTTAAGGCTTCTTAAGCAAATGTATATATCGACATGTTCCATCAAATTAGAGTATACAAAAAAAAAATTTCATCATTATAACATTTTAACTAGTTCATATAGTATTTTATGAATAAGATTAATATATTATATTTATAAGTGTATATTATATTATATATTAATACAAAAAAAAATGCGTTGTAAAAAGGTTTATTAAAAGCATACATAGGCTATTTTGTCAATATGTTGAATTACGTAGTGCCGTACAATTATTGTGGATGATCAGAGAAATTTAATGCACTTAAACTATTATTTAAAATATTTTGTTATCGCTTTTATTGTTGTTTTATCATGTTATTGTATTATTATTATTAATATATTGTTTTGGATTGAAATATTTTTTTAATGTAAATTATTAAAAAGATTACTTGCTTGTAGACATTATACCATTTTCGATGAAAAATTCTCAATTGCTATAATGAGTAGAATTCACTGTACTTATAATAAAAAATATATATTTAAATATAAATTAAAATATATAAACTATCAATTATTAATTTTAGTGTTATAATTAATAATTATTTTTATCAACAATTTATAATTATGAAAATATAGCATTCTAGTACAATTAAAATATTACTTTCTTTTTAAAATAATTAATTTATTAAAAAATTAGCTGATATATAAATAATATATTAACCTGAGATATTTCTATTTGGTATTTACTCTAAATCTACTAATTGTCATTGAGATAAAAATCTTTAAACCGCATATTATTATTATTATTATTATTATTATTATTATTATT